GTCATTCTATAATTCGTTATAGTCTTACTATAATTCGTCAGAAGTCATTACCATTGCCAAAATTTCATTTAAACCATAATTCGCAGAAGGTCAATTACATAATGTCGTCTGAGCATTACTATAATTCGTCAAAAGTCATTAACTTAAATTTCGTCAGAAGTATTACTATAATTCTTTCATAAGTATTACTATAATTCGTCGGGAAGTTTTACTATAATTCGTCAGAAGTCATTACTTAATTCGTCATAAGTATTATTAATTCGTCAGAAGTCATTACATAATCGTCAAAAGTCATTACTAAAATTTTCGTCAGAAGTCATTACCATAATTCGCCAGAAGTCATTACTATAATTCGTCAGAAGTCATTACTATAATTCGTCATAAGTCATTACTATAATTCGTCAGAAGTCATTACTATAATTCGTCAGAAGTCATTACTATAATTCGTCATAAGTCATTACTATAATTCGTCAGAAGTCATTACTATAATTCGTCAGAAGTCATTACTATAATTCGTCATAAGTCATTACTATAATTCGTCAGAAGTCATTACCATAATTCGCCAGAAGTCATTACTATAATTCGTCAGAAGCATTACTATAATTCGTCAGAAGTCTTTAAACCATAATTCGCCAGAAGTCATTACTATAATTCGTCAGAAGTCATTACTATAATTCGTCAGAAGTCATTACCATAATTCGCCAGAAGTCATTACTATAATTCGTCAGAAGTCATTACCATAATTCGTCAGAAGTTATTACTATAATTCGTCAGAAGTCATTACCATAATTCGCCAGAAGTCATTACTATAATTCGTCAGAAGTTATTACTATAATTCGCCAGAAGTCATTACTATAATTCGTCAGAAGTTATTACTATAATTCGTCAGAAGTCATTACTATAATTCGCCAGAAGTCATTACCATAATTCGTCAGAAGTTATTACTATAATTCGCCAGAAGCCCATTACTATAATTCGCCCGAAGTTATTACTATAATTCGTCAGATAGTCATTACTTAAATTCGCCAGAAGTCATTACTAAAATTTTCATCATAAGTCATACTATAATTCGTCAGAAGTCATTACCATAATTCGCCAGAAGTCATTACCATAATTCGCCAGAAGTCATTACTATAATTCGTCAGAAGTCATTACCATAATTCGTCAGAAGTTATTACTATAATTCGCCAGAAGTCATTACTATAATTCGTCAGAAGTTATTACTATAATTCGTCAGAAGTCATTACTATAATTCGTCAGAAGTCATTACCATAATTCGTCAGAAGTTATTACTATAATTCGCCAGAAGTCATTACTATAATTCGTCAGAAGTTATTACTATAATTCGTCAGAAGTCATTACTATAATTCGCCAGAAGTCATTACCATAATTCGCCAGAAGTCATTACTATAATTCGTCAGAAGTCATTACTATAATTCGTCAGAAGTCATTACTATAATTCGTCAAAAGTTATTACTATAATTCGTCAGAAGTCATTACTATAATTCGTCAGAAGTTATTACTATAATTCGTCAGAAGTCATTACTATAATTCGCCAGAAGTCATTACCATAATTCGCCAGAAGTCATTACTATAATTCGTCAGAAGTCATTACTATAATTCGTCAGAAGTCATTACTATAATTCGTCAGAAGTCATTACTATAATTCGTCAGAAGTTATTACTATAATTCGTCAGAAGTCATTACTATAATTCGCCAGAAGTCATTACCATAATTCGCCAGAAGTCATTACTATAATTCGTCAGAAGTCATTACTATAATTCGTCAGAAGTCATTACTATAATTCGTCAGAAGTTATTACTATAATTCGTCAGAAGTCATTACTATAATTCGTCAGAAGTTATTACTATAATTCGTCAGAAGTCATTACTATAATTCGCCAGAATTTATTACCATAATTCGCCAGAAGTCATTATTTAAAATTCGTCAGAAGTCATTACTATAATTCGTCAGAAGTCATTACTATAATTCGTCAGAAGTTATTACTATAATTCGTCAGAAGTCATTACTATAATTCGCCAGAAGTCATTACTATAATTCGTCAGAAGTCATTACCATAATTCGCCAGAGGTCTCCCACACTATCATTATCTTCACGGGGAAGCGCTAAACCCATATGGCCCGTACAACACCTGGAGAAAGGGAGGAATCAGGTTTGATCTGAGGAAGAGGAAGGTGGCGACAATGCCTTGGATCAAGAACCTTTGACCAATATCTACGCACATCTCTTGAAGGAATTTACTTAGAACTGACGACATCAGCGTCAAACTGCTGACGACGCTGTAAAACTGACGACGCTGTTAAACTGACGACGCTGTTAAACTACCGACGACCTTATTAAACTATTGACGACCTTATTAAATTACTGACGACCTTATTAAACTGCTGACAACCTTATTAAACTGCTGACAACCTTATTAAACTGCTGACAACCTTATTAAACTGGCGACGGCTTTATTAAACTGCCGATGACGTTATTATATTGTTGAAGATGCTGTCAAACTGCTGACGACACTATTAAACTGCTGATGACGCTGTCAAACTGCTAAGACCAGCTATGGTCTGTCAGACCAAGTGTCCCTAACTGACTGTGGTCTCAGACCCACACTGCCAGACCAGACCAGACCAGACCAGACCAGATGCATTTAACAAAGCAACATTTTCAATCAGATGTACACAAAACTTGTCTAGACTGAGTGGCTTAACTGGCTTAGTGGCTTAACTGGCTGAGTGGCTTAACTGGCTGAGTGGCTTAACTGGCTGAGTGGCTTAACTGGCTGAGTGGCTTAACTGGCTGAGTGGCTTAACTGACTGAGTGGCTTAACTGGCTGAGTGGCTTAACTGGCTGAGTGGTTTAAACTGGCTGAGTGGCTTAACTAGTGGCTTACGGGCTGAGTGGCTTAAAACTGGCTGAGGGGGCTTAACTGGCTGAGTGGCTTAACTGACTGAGTGGCTTGACTGAGTGGCTTAACTGGCTGAGTGGCTTAACTGGCTGAGTGGCTTAACTGGCTGAGTGGCTTAACTGACTGAGTGGCTTGACTGGCTGAGTGGCTTAACTGGCTGAGTGGCTTAACTGGCTGAGTGGCTTAACTGACTGAGTGGCTTGACTGAGTGGCTTAACTGGCTGAGTGGCTTAACTGGCTGAGTGGCTTAACTGGCTGAGTGGCTTAACTGACTGAGTGGCTTGACTGAGTGGCTTAACTGGCTGAGTGGCTTAACTGGCTGAGTGGCTTAACTGGCTGAGTGGCTTAACTGACTGAGTGGCTTGACTGAGTGGCTTAACTGGCTGAGTGGCTTAATGGTGAGTGGTTAAAACTGACTGAGTGGCTTGACTGAGTGGCTTAACTGGCTGAGTGGCTTAACTGGCTGAGTGGCTTAACTGACTGAGTGGCTTGACTGAGTGGCTTAACTGGCTGAGGGGCTTAACTGGCTGAGGGGCTTAACTGACTGAGGGGCCCTTAACTGGCTGAGTGGCTTAACTGGCTGAGTGGTTTTACTGAGTGGCTTAACTGGCTGAGTGGTTTTACTGGCTGAGTGGCTTAACTGACTGAGTGGCTTGACAGAGTGGCTTAACTGGCTGAGGGGGCTTAACTGGCCTGAGTGGCTTAACTGGCTGAGTGGCTTAACTGACTGGGGTGGCTTGACTGGCTGAGTGGCTTAACTGGCTGAGTGGCTTAACTGGCTGAGTGGCTTAAAACTGACTGAGTGGCTTGGACTGGAGTGGCTTAACGGGCTGAGTGGCTTAACTGGCTGAGTGGCTTAACTGGCGAGTGGCTTAACTGACTGATGGGTTTGGGACTGAGTGGCTTAACTGGCTGAGTGGCTTAACTGGCTGAGTGGCTTAACTGGCTGAGTGGCTTAACTGACTGAGTGGCTTGACTGAGTGGCTTAACTGGCTGAGTGGCTTAACTGGCTGAGTGGCTTAACTGACTGAGTGGCTTGACTGAGTGGCTTAACTGGCTGAGTGGCTTAACTGGCTGAGTGGCTTAACTGACTGAGTGCTTGACTGAGTGGCTTAACTGGCTGAGTGGCTTAACTGGCTGAGTGGCTTAACT